TGATTAGGCTTCACCATAGAAATTCGTAGTCATGAATAAGCGTACTCGGCTATGTGGTACTCGGCTGTTTACAGCAGCGAATCAACCATTACTCATATTCAGAGTTTTTTCTTCCTCTCTCTAGTTTTCCTGACTGCCTCCTATGTGAATCTGTGGGAGGAAAGTTTAGAAGCTCGAATAGTTTGGGTCAAGCGATCTGACCACCCTTGAAAATAGTCGTTCCTTCTGCTGCCACTTTGAGGTTACTGGTTGCTTCAATTGTCTGTTCTGCAGCAACAATGGCTGGAAGCACCCTGGTGCAGATCAGGCCAGCACCGTGTGTTCAGTTCAAGCCACTGCTATCATCTCTACATCAAAATTCACATGAAATTGCTCCATATCCCTTCAACCCTAAGCTTTGGGAGGAAAAATAACACGATGCAGTGAGAGGAGCTGGATCCTCAGAACGTAAGTAATGGTTAACGCGTTTGCCACTGCGCCTTTCAGAAAGGCAAGAATGTTAAACTAAGAAATAGCCTTGACCAGGAAGTAGTGGCACAGAAAGTGAAAAAGCTCGGTGGTTAAGAGAATGCAACGAGGAGACTGAAACAATGGTATGTCTCCAGAGGGTCTCACCTAGACTTATAGCTCCTATAGAAGGGTGCATACTTTCCACTGGCTGAGGTGACATAGATATCATCACTACGCATTCAGGGTCACAGGTTCAAGTTCAGGATCGAAATCCGCCAAGGCTGACCAAGCCTTCCCTACCTCGAGGTCGGCTAATTGGTACCAGACTCGTCCGGGAGAATTCAATGAGCTAGCATCACTTCATGAGGCATAGCAGCAATAGTGTGACATCGTTGAACGCTGCGGAAAGCCCATTTTAGTCTTTTTCCCTCTTCCTAATATATGATTTTCTTCAAAAAGAAAACTAGTTATCTAATTGATGTTTGCAATATCCCCTAGTCTAATCTGCTGAAATAAGCATAAAACAGAACGATAAGGGACATGACAGTGGGTGTTCGCTAATGATGCCGAATTTAGCACGAGTCTGACTTTCGTGCAGATTCGTAGTAGCATTGAAGGGGACGTGATATTATGATTTTTGTGAGGTTTCAAATCTTGCAGCCGTCCGTTTTTATATTTCCAATTAGGAGGTTTCGTGACAAGTGCATGTTCTTGGAATGAAATCTGAGACCATCTGCAATTGATATTCAAATGCTAGCAACTCAACAGCACAGAAATTACGCTAGACTTGTAAAAGTAACGGCTTTCCCTCCTGTAATAAAGCAACAGATAGAGCATCCTGAAGGTTGGTAGAGTGACAACGAGAATTCTTGCGATGCTGGGAAGAAGGGAAAGTTAAATGAGTAAATGAGAAGTAATTCGAACGGAATAGAAGTTAAAAGGGCCGTTTAGTAAATGCTCCCATATGTTGAGTACACAAAGGTGTTCAACGGACAACAAGAATTTCGAGAATTGTTTTCGTGCAAAACTGCTTTT